TTTTTTTTTTTTTTTTTTTTTTTTTTCCACAAGCGATGATACTTGGAACGGAGGAATCGCTCGACGTTGCTCCGACGTCGAGAAGTTCTTCTTCTTCTTCTCACGCTTCGCTTCCCCGAGCGATCGGTGTATAAAATCAAGAGCAAAGCACGCACCTTCCGACGCCATTAACACCCCACCTACTATGTACACGCTTTAACGTTTCTAGTACTCGAGAGTCGTTGCTGCAAAAGCACGTAAAGTGTAATCTTCGCATGATTGCGATCGATGCGCAAGAAATACGACAAAATAATGACAGTGATAACGCGCGGCACATTTACATTCAATGGAATATAAATAATAATACAGCATGGAGGGGGAGGGTGAGAGGGAACGGGGGGAGAGTAACGCGAAAGATCGACGCGCTTAATCGAGACGCAATCTCCGCGCGATATATCTTGAAGCTTCATCGGCTGGAAATTCACTTGAAATTGTCGCTCGCGCGCGCGCTCACTGCCGCGGAAAGAAATTTTGCACTTTCGAGACTTCTTTTGTTTTTTCTTTTTGAATTTTTTTTTTTTCTCGCGATCTAACGTTGCATAATCGCGAATTGGGGCATGAAGAGGCAACTGCGGGAGAGGGGCGTGCGTGTCTCCCGAATAAACACTTGTTTTCATGATTTTCGCACAATCCGACATTTTCCCCTCTCACCCCCATCTCGTTGCTTACCTTTCGCTTTAGCGATGATCGATTGGCTCGAACGTTGCGATATGATAATGAGGAAAATATATCCCACGCCAAACATTTGCATGGCGTACCGCGCGCGAGGGAAGGGCGGAGGGGGGTTACATTATCTCGCTCTCCTGGAGATCTCTGATTCCGGTTGAGTTGTCGATGGCGCCGGAACGTCGTCCGTGAATTTCGCGAGAAACGAAATTACTTGACGACATGAATGTGTGTGTTACATACATGATCTTCCCGTCCTTATATTACCGTCGTACACACAGCGAGCTCATACCAGCGAGGCCGGAGGAGGGCAACGCAAATAACGTTCTTGAACTTGTTACTTGCAACGTATATTATTGTTGAGAGATTTTCAATTCGACGATTTGTTGGCTTACACGTGCTTACGTCTTTTACGTTTTGTCGTTTTTTTGTACATCCTGTTTGAGATTTTTGGTGGAATCGATATCTATATATATATACATATATATATAGTTTATATAAAATGGCGAACGGGACACGCCTTTCGTTCATGCGAGCGAGCGAGCGAGCGAGCACCGCCGCAGATAGCGCTCGAGTAGAAGTAAAAAAAAAAAAAGTAACAGTACTCTGATAATCATGTATATATCTCGTCCGGACTGGAGAGGGCAGAGCACATTTAGTAAACCAATCCGTCATCCGATCATTCAGTCAACTTTTTTTTTTTTTTGTAACGTATCTCTAGACCACATCAACGCGAACAAGTTTCTTCTATCTCTCATTCATACGTGTGTCATCTTCATTCGATGTGATCTCACATATATATGTGTGTCCCATTTAATCGCGATGTGAAGCCGAGAGACGCGAGCGCGCGACGTAAACGTCCGCAATACGTCCGTGACTCGCCGCTTCAAAAACTGCTTTTTGCTTACGCACACTTTAATGTTTTTCATTTTCTCCAAAAAAAACATTCGCGGAGTGTGAAAAAAAAAAAAAAAAAAAAAAAACATTCGGGATCATTGTGCGCAATAGCGCAGTCGTCGAGAGAGTTTTTTGGCTCGCGATATGCGTATATAATCCGTTGATTGACTAGTTTATTCTCCGATATTCGCCGATGAATTTTCATTCATAATACGATTCGCGCCGTGAGATATTATAAAAAAAAAAATAAAAAATAAAAACAAAACGTCGCGCAAACTGCGGAGGAAATCGGGGAATGTAATGTGCGCGCCGCGGGCGGACGTATCGCGTGATTTTTCACGAGTACGCTCGCGCGTATTCAAATATGATATATGTGTGTGTACATAAATATCTACTCGTGCTAGATTTTTCATGGAGGGTTCGTTGCACCGTTTCGAGAGAGAAGAGGAACGGGCCGCGCGCGACGCGTTGTGCAGCAAGCAAGCACGTTGTATAATCCGGCACGACGGGAAAAAAATCGAGACGTCTCGAACTCTCGTAAAATCGCGCGCCACGTTGGCTCGTCGATCGGAGGCTCTCGATCTTTTCTTCCCGATTAAGTGCACAGACGCACAGGGCGTCGTTCACAACTCGTCCTCGCGGCTCTTTTCGAACGACGAGCCCGCCGTTTTTTTTTTTACGAGTCCGCACGAGCTTTTTTTTCCCTCGCGACGTGCGGGAAAGAAAACGATGTTATATTCTCCGGTCTATCTCTCGGGCCATTGAAATTCTATTGCACGCTCGCGATCGCGTTTATCTATGATGTATTGTACGAAGTGTTGGTTTTATCACGAGTCGTGTATTTTTAAAAGAATTCATTACTTATTTATTAAAAAAAAAAAAAATTCACTTTATTTTGGTTGCGGAAGTTTAAAACCCTGTAAGCAAATCGGAAACAAACAACTTTTTGTTTTTTAAATATTGATTCTTTCAATTTTTAAATTTAAAATAAAACTTTTATAAATTAAATTCAAAAAAATATCAGTCGTTTCTATTTTGCTCAAAAACAATTGCGTTAAATAAGCGTGTGTTTAAAAAAAATTGTTATCCGCCTTTTTTTTTTATTTGTTTCGAACGTTTCCCTTAACGCGATCGATGCCTGCGTCGAATTACTCGCGAGCGTTATACGCCGCGAACGGCGAGCTCGTCCATCACGAAACAACGCGGAGTAGTGCACTTTCCCACTTCTGTTTTTTCGGGAGAGCGGAAAATTGAAAAATCATGTCTCTGTCTCTCTAACCTCTGGTGCCTTGCATGTGTCGCTGGCTGGCGCATGTGGTGGTGGTGGTGGCGATGGTGGCGGATTAATCGGAGGCGGGTGAGCGCGCTCCCGTGTCGCGCTCGCAACACGTGCGGACCGGTGTCGCATAAAAATACGATATTTCATCGATGCGGGCGCAATTAGATCGCGTAATTATACGAATCGCAGCTTCGAAATCGCCGTAAATTGCGGCCGCGACCCGCTCTGTGATTTACGCGATCTTTTGTACGGTTGTACAAGTACGGTGTAAAAATTATTGCCCCAACGCGCGCACCCTCTCCCCTGCGACATCGCCACCGCGAGCATGGCTGTATATGTGTTTGTACCATATATATATATATATATATGTATATGTACGTAGTTGTGCACTGTAGAAACTGTTTCATCTGTTAGCGGTGTAATGTGTGCCTCTCGTGTTACACTTTATCAGTTGCCGTCCACATTGACGCGTCACCGCGAATTTGTACCGTCGCGTTTTGCACTTATCGCTCTCTCTCTATCTCTCTCTCTCTCTCTTCCTCTCGCGCGATCAATAGCAAACTATCCCGCTAATCTGGTAAGCTCGCCGGCGCGTGATATCATCTCGCCGGGAGATCGGTAATGCCGCGAAATAAATTGATTTAAATTAAAACGCGAGCGCGAGTGGCGCGCACGAGAGAGAGACCTCAAAAAAAAAAAAAAAAAAAAAAAAAAAAATGCGATCGAGCAAGTTAAAGCGTGCGTATACACATATCCGACGATCGGATCGCTGATGATGAAATTTGTGCGTTTGAGCGAGCAAAACGCGCGTGCGAAACGCGCTTTTAAATGCATAATTAAAATATGCGGGTTGCAGAGATCGTACACGGGGGAGCGTTTGGGAAACGTTTCCGGAATAGACCCGCTGGATTTCGGGACGACGGATGCACCCGCCCGGCTGTGCGCGCACCGTGTGTGTCGCCCGAAATGCATTAACCGTGAATTCAATATTGACTCCGCAAACCTGCCAACGTCCTGTAATTAATTAATCGATCAATCGGTCGCGCCGGATAATATCGTGATAGCCGCCGCAATCGCGAACGTCCAAACGCAATCTTAAGCGCTTACCCCCGTTCATATACTTGAATATACGCCACACGTCGCGTGTGTTGTAGGGTCTGCGTGCCCACGTTGCGAGACACGACTTTTGTATACGTAACGATCGGCGACAACGCGACTGTGTGTGTGTGTGTGTGTGTGTGTGTGTATGTATACGCGCGCGCGTGTGTGTTTTACTCACGTAGCAGTTCACGAGAGCGAGAGAGCGTCGGACGCGAAGGGATCGATATGATAGAAATTAATCGCGAGGCATAATCGTGTCGTTGCCCCCCGACGTTTATGTGGAACGTCATGAATGCACGCGACTCTATAAGCAAATCTCACGCGTCGTAGGCGATGTAAACGCGGCGACCAGACGTTTTATTCGGTGTAATTGCGCCTCTATCGAGGTCCGCTCGCGCGAATAACTCGATATCGACGACGTCAATCGATTTCTATCACAATTAGCATCTGCATAATCGCCGTGGTATGTAATTTAGCGCTGAATTTGGAGCGCGAAAAACGAGAGAGAGAGAAAAAAAAAAAAAGAATTTTTCAATGTACGTGTTCAATCGATGGCAACGATAATATTTCTTTTTCGATGTAATTTTTCTCGAATAACATTCTGTTTGTGACGTAATAAAAAAAAGAAGATACGTGAAAATAAAAAGATGCTTAAAAAAAGAACACGATAATATATCAGAAATGAAGTATGCAAATATGTCCTTTGCGTGGGAAGTAAGAGACGAGAGAGGATCTTAAAGAAGAGGCGCATTACCGAGCTCTCGCACAGGATCAA